TTAACAATGCCACCATGCATTAACTGGCTTCAGCCTCTCCTCGCCTTGATCTCTTCTCCTTTGGTCACTCGTGGTCACCACTGTCCACCACGCTGCTCATGTGCAGACCACTATACTGTGGACTGCAGTGGTCAAGGACTAACTAGAGTCCCAGATGAGATCCCTCTGAATGTCCGCCGCCTGGTGCTCTCCAACAACTGGATTTCCTGGATACCATCCGATTTCCTGATCCTCTACAGTGACCTCACATATCTCGACCTAAGGAACAACTCCCTCTCGTACCTGGACCCAGTAACCCTGAGCACATCTTCAGGATTAGTCTTCCTGGATCTTGCGAACAACAACTTGACAAAAATTGCCTCCAGGACATTTATGGAGTCCAGGAACCTGATCAAACTACGACTAGGTAACAACCCCTATCTAAATATGGTTGACACTGACGCTTTTTTGGGTTTGACAGCCTTGAGGGAGCTGGATCTCCAGAGAAACGGCTTCACCTTGCTGGACGTCAGGGTCCTGGAACCCCTGCGTTCTCTTCAGATTCTGCACGTTGAAGGCAACCCATGGCTCTGCAACTGCAACTTTGCCAAGCTTTATTTGTGGCTAACAGAAAACCAACACAAGCTGCCAACAGGTAAAACGTACGACAGTTTAACTGCAACGTCACTTGTTGTTAAAGGACATAAACGTCATTCCTTCTCTTCTGAAGATCCAGCCTTAACAGTTGAAACTTGAAGTGGAGGTCTAGTAAGAGAACCCAGTCCATTCTCAGACTTTATCCATCTTGTGCTGTAATCTTAATGGTGTGTTCATTTTCTCACAGGATTCTTTTTGTTTGTATTTTTCCAGGTATGGAGGGAATCAAGTGCTTCTTGCCTCTGAATGGGCATCACGTTCCTCTAAGCTTACTCTCTGAAGACAGTTTTCGGCAGTGCCGCGGTGTCCTGGCACTGAAGGACTACATCATCGTCATCTTCTCTGGTATTTCCGTTTCGGTGGCAGCCATTGTGACCAGCTTCTTGCTTGCCTCCACTGTAAACTGTTTTCATCGCCTCAGCAGAGGTTGCAGAGGAGATCAAGAGGAAGGGAACCAATAATGATGATGATTGAATGATGACCCAAAAAGATGACATTTAAAATGAACTGTTTTGTGTTTCAGAAGGGCTGGACATATACTAGACAAATGCAACAGACTGAGTTTGATTTGTTTTATTGTGGGCTCATTTCTCATTTGAAAGGGCTTCATGTGTTGTGTCGACAATGAACAATAATTTGTATCAAAACTTTAATTTTAATTAAGAGTTTTTACTAAGATATAAACCATATTTTGTAAATCCCATTTTTGTCAAACTGATGAAATGATTTATAAGTAACACTTGACGTAGCCCTACTTTCCCTTCCCTTCTCAACTTCAATTTATAGCTTCTTTTAAAATCAAATATGAAGAAAATGCTGGTAGCACATTCTAATTCCTTAACATTTTGCAATTCAAAAGTGTATACACTTGACAGTCATCTGTGCTGTAGGACAGATGGCCACTCCCGTCTGAGGATCTGCCCGAGATAATGCTCGGAGCAGGGCTGACAGCCAGCCAATGGCCATGCAGGTTTATTAAGATTCAGCGGCGGTGGTGTAATAAAGAGTTTACATCTGCGAGGATTGTGTGAGATTGCCTGAAAACATGCAGTATAATGATCAACTAAGCTGTTCAACCATGATTGAGCTTTCAGGATCCTCACTTTACCTTACTGAAAACAGACAGGGACGCTAGAGAGTGTCTACTTCAATCTAATGTAATTTTCAGTGAATACATTTTAAGGTTATAAACAATTATTACAACAACATTAATTGAAATAAACTGAAGGTGTTTGTTCAAAATCAAACTGATGCAATCGAAGCTAGTGTGATAGTGCCTTTGATCTTAAGTTAAGATAAAAGGCCTAAAATTGTATAAGTAAGTGTAATAGATATTTGTATGTTTTTTTAATGGCTGATTAAGACCAGAATAGGCAGTGATTTAACCTTGCTTAACAGAAGCAAAGAAGCATAAGAAGAAGGTTTTAATGCAATATTAATTAAGCCAATAGGAACAAAGAATTGTCATTAAAGTCAATAGAAACAAAGTACAGTGCAATTTTATCAAAATGTATGACACGGAAATGCCCAGCGATGTCGAAAAAATAATTGAATCAGTGGATGATCTAAAAAAAAAGCTACTTTGTTCAGAGGCTCGCCGAATCTCACGAATTATGGACAACTGCATTAGGCAAGTCCTAACTATGGCAACACTGCCTATGATTCTTCCCAAACTTTCCAAATTTACAGACAAAGACCTGATAAATGAGCTTCAGAAGCATAAACAAATTTGTGAAAAGTTAGAAAAAAAGATAGAGGACGGTGAACAGGAAAAACCAGAAAGAACAGGTAAAAAGGGAAAAAACAATCTGGAAAGAGACATCAAAAATTCTTCCAGGGATCTTCTCAGATTTTTGCGATCATGTCCAGAAGCGATTGTTGCACTGAAATCAGTTCCAGGTGTTGAAATTGGGGAGCATGAGTTAAACCTGGTTGTAGAGCTTAAAGGGTTTCATAGCCACATGCTCAACAAATTACTGACTAGTCCGTGTCATGAAAAACACCTGCCTTTCCACAAGATAGGACCTACACATCTGGACAAAATACTTCATGATCTGGAGGAAATGTCTTTAGAGGAAGCAGAAGTGGCTGCAGCCATGAAGAAAGTCAATGCAAAGATTGCACAGAAAAACATTGAGATTGAAAATTTGCAGGAGGTGACACAGTTGACATCGTTCGCGGCGGAGAACGAGCAGCTACCTGTCAATCCATCTCTAACTTTGCAGGAGAGAATTGATCAACTGAAGATTCAAGTCAGCATTTCTAAACGAGAGAACACCGAATCACTAGCAGTACTCAACAAAGAGGATGAAGGAGTAGAGAAAATATTTGATGACTTGTGCCAAACACACTACAGTGACGTAGATGAACCACAGACTGACCTGGAGTCCATAGAAGAGGACCCTGAAAAAGAGGAAGAAAAGAAGCTCGCACAGGACAATTTGCAGCAAGAATTACTAAAGGTACTTGAAGATGAAAAAGATCTGCTTTATAATGAATCGCTGAGAAAACAAGCAGGTTTAAAACAGAAAATTAACCAAATGGAGAATGAGCTCAACAAATTACAAAAGGAGAATTTAGATGCAGAGATTAAGCTTCAGGGCAGAAATAAAAAATTGGAGAAAGTAAAGGAAAACATGCAGAAAACCTATGAAAATGAAAATAAGCAAAGACAGGAAGAGCTTGATCTGGAAGAACTTGAAACCCAAAAGGAGGAGGACAAGTTGAAAGCACTACAAGAAGCCTACGCTGTCCTCAAAGAAGAGTATGACCAGATCCAAGAGAGACTGGCAGAGGAGCAGAGACAGCGGGAATTATTACAGACAAAAATTAAAGCTGCTACCTTCGCTCAGGCTTGGTGGAGAGGCTACTGTACCCGTAAAGCCTTAAAGGAACAGGCTGAAAAGGGAAAGGCTGGTGGCAAGAAAGGAAAGAAAGGAAAAGACAAAAAAGGAAAAGGAAAAGGAAAAGGCAAGAAGAAAAAATAAGCCAGTGAGAAATTTCCTCACTGTGGTGATAAACTGGAAACAGTCTACCTGTAAAAGTTTTAGGTCTAGTCCTTTCACCAGATTTGTCACTCAGATAGGTTTAATGTGGCCCTAAGTATTTCGTCTAAAATTTGTATTTTTTCACTTAGCAGAGTTCCAGATGTACTGAATGTAAAAATATGAAGAAGCGATTCATTTTAAAGGGATTTAAAGAGATGAGACCAGCTTCCATACACTCCCATATATCACCTTACAGTGGCTTTAGATATCCACAACTCTAACAATGTCAGGGACACTGTAGTGTATTATGTGTTATTTCATTAAAGTATTTTTCGTTATAAAGACAGAATTGGAATGATGAAGTTTTTAATGTGTGTTGCCATCAGTGATGAATGTGTTAAGCCTCACCGACACATACATTTTACTCACCTTAATAGTGTCGTGCAAGATTTTATACAATACAATTCACAGCTAATGCTTCAGCTAGTGCAGCACAGACAACATTTGTGCTTTAGCTATATATATGGACTGTATTGAACTCAGTTTAGAATCCTTCTTGAATGAAAGTATATAGTTAAAAAAATAGATCACTTGAGTTTTGATAACGAATTAATGTTTCCTTTATATGTATACATACATAGGTATTTTGGTGAATTTGCTGACATAAGCAAATGTAATCATTTGAAAGATCGTAACACCACAGGATCAACTGATTCAATAATTGACATTCCAGTACATTAAAGTCAGTTTGGAGCTTGAAGCTAGAGTGGATATTTCCCTGGTTTCACCGAAACACAGCATAAGAGGAATGGTTTGTTTTGATCACGTGACCGGAAGTATGTGTTGGAAGTTCATCTCCTGTAGGAAGTGTGGTTGTTTACAAGGCGGCGTCGATGCACAAAACTTTTAAAAATGACGTGATAAAGGGGAATATCCTTTATTGTGTAAGTAAAACAACTGTGTTCTTCGTATAAACAGAGCGACTAGTGTTGCGTTAAAGTATCCTGTGGCCGGCTTTCTGCCTTTAGCGCTTATCTCTCGCTAAGCTAGTTGTAGCATAGAAGTGGCAAGCTAACTGGGATCACAACCTTGTCCTGTCCAGAGTCATCACCGCCCACACGAGAATTTGTCCTGCTCTACTGATGATCGTGACTTTATCGGGTTCCTCGTTTCCTTTCTCGACGTCCCTATTTAAACCGAAGGTCATTTTTAATGTGTGAAAGCTCCACGACACGCGGATCATGTAACACCCGAGTGTCTCAGCAGTGTTTGTCCTGTGTTGGGTGTCTGTGGCGGGACATGAACAGCTTGCGACGGTAGCACTGGGCTGTCAGCGATATGATTTCAACAGAGCAGTGTGCTTAAGTGGACTTTCAGCTTTCGTCCGTGTCAGTAAGTCAATGTTACTGGTAGTCATGCTGAGTCTTGCGTCATACACCGTCATACAATTACTGTCACTTTCACTTAACCTCGGAAGAAGATAATATCCGGTTATCTGACAGGTATAATTGACATGTTTTATTTACTCAACCAATAATGAACCTTATAATTCTACTACAGTGCACTATTTTCTGTCATATGTTGCTAGTTGCTGGCTTTGGGAAAATGTGGACACATGTTTTTAGTTTCGCTTTTGTGTCTGTGTGTTGTGGGTGAATTTAATCAAAATGCTTTTAAAACTAACACAATCAAAAACAGGGAAAGTAAAACAATTGCGACTGTATTTAACACTCAGTTCGGCCCATGGCTAAAGTGCAATCACCAGAAGTTATAGTAAAACTGCGTGTATATCATATATGTGTTCAAATAAACAGACACAGATGTAACACTAAGTCTATAGTAAGTCAGTTCATTGATTTTTTTTTTAATTCAAAATTTCGAATGACATAAATTGATTTATAAACACTTAAATGTCCCTTTGTGTTTTAAAGATTAAAAACCTCAGGGTGGTTTTTCATCACCACAGAGTGCCGTCGTCACCCTGAGCCATCAGGATGTTGGAGGGCCTTGCTGCTTGGGTGCTGAACACGTATCTGGGCAGATATGTCAGCAACCTGAACACAGATCAGCTCTCCATCGCCCTGCTGAAAGGTATGATTCCATGCTTTTCGATGTTTGCTTTTTTTAAACTAAATTCAATCTAGACAATTCATTTCTAAAATCGTACAGCAGTTTTTATAGGAGAGGTTGTACTTAAGTCTTAGTTCCATCTCCAGTGTTCATGAACACTTCAGTTCCTCTTCAGCACTGACTAACCCAGATTCTCTTGACACTGTCACCAACTTTAACAAATGATAATGCCTAGAGGCATAGCTTAACCCAGCTTACATATCATAGAACAACACCTACAGTTCATTCATCATATCTTACTGAATAGTTTGATTGGTTTTAATTGAAGGACTTTGATAAATAAGAATTAAAGTTGCTGAGAAGCTTTTCGTAATACAGTTTAAAATGAATTACGGTAAATTAAAATGCTGTTCAAGAAATGTCCTAGTCTGATCAAATACAATAAACATTAAAATATAGAGTAAAGTCATATCAGAAAATTGTTTTGATAGGTTCTTGTAATTATTATTTTGTTTATATGGAACTTTCCTGTACCTGTGCAGGTGCAGTGGAGCTGGAAAACCTCCCTCTTAGGAAAGATGCTCTCAGAGAATTTGATCTGCCATTTGAAGTCAAAGCAGGTAAGACACATGGACCTTTCTTTGTACAAACACAAATGTGATATTTGGACAAGAAGGTGTGAAGTACAAAAAAATATATTTTTATCTTTTCCAAGGCTTCATTGGGAAGATTACACTCCAGATCCCTTTCTACCGACCCCACAGTGACCCATGGGTCATCTCTATGTCCCAGCTCAACCTGATCATTGGTCCAGCCCAACTAGAGGAGTATGATGCAGAGAAGGAGAGAGAGGAGGAAAGAGCACGTAAAAAATATCTCTTAAAGGCTCTGGAAGATAAATTCAAGGTAGGTTGCTCTACTAGGATGGACAATTCTCTTGTCCACTTAGACAGTTACAGAGTTACAGTTGGTGAATTGTAGATCGCACATACATGCTATTGATTTTGTTTCTTCTTCAGAGTGAGTGTGAACAGAGAGGAGAATCTTACTGGTATTCTGTCACTGCCTCAGTGGTCACCAGGATTGTGGAAAACATTGAGGTAATCCATTCATCATTAGACAGTGCAAAGAAAATGCATTTAAATTGAAGACAAAATAGGATGGAACAAGAAAAAAACAGAGAGGGAAAGGAGCACCTTGGTTTTTTTTTCTAGTTGTAATCTGAACTTGTTTGTGTGTTTAGCTTCAGATTCAAGATGTGCATCTTAGATTTGAAGACGACTTCTCCAACCCTGATAAACCCTTCTCTTTTGGTGTCTGCATCAACAAAGTTTCTGCTCAGAATCCCTCCAAAGAATCCGTAAGTAATTAGAGTTTCAGTACCTATTGTAGAATATTATGAAGTTGTATTTGCAATTATCAAATATCTTTGTTTACAGACATTTTCACATATTTTTGTTTGTTCTTTGTGTTTAAGGTAAAGATTAATTCTTTGTCTTTGCAGACTCAGAAACTGCTCCGACAAAAGCAGCTGGAGATCGAAGATTTCTGTGTGTACTGGGACACAGAGAGTGAAATGTTGGGAAAGCTGCCTGCAAACCAGATCCAGGTTTGTGCTGTCGTGACTCTTAATGATAAGGAACTAATAACTGGGATCCTGAGTTGTGGTTTAAAAACCGTGTTTCAATCACTGACTATTCCTCTTCCACTAAATAATTAACCAGTAGCCATCACATAGTGGACCACACAGTCCAAAGCAGTAATGTAAGTTTTTGATTTGTGACCCACAATAGGACTAGACCAGGCTTTATACCACTATATTATAATATAATCCAGATTGTATTTGAAGTTTCTGATTAAAATTATTTTTCTGTGCAGGATGCAATGACCCAGTGTATGCAGAGTCGTGAACATCAGTACATCTTTGAACCAGTGCGTTCCTCAGTGCTACTAAGGAGAAACACCACCAAGGAGCCTCTGAGGTCCCATCATACTCCTCGTATCGAGGGCCAGGTTCAGCTGGAACCAATGTCATTGCGTCTCTCGCAGGTTTCTACACACACACCTGATTCCCTTGGGAAAAAAATCTAATGTATTTTATATAATATACAGTAAATATATATAAAGTATTTATGAAACTAAAAGATAACTCTTTTGACTTTCAGGAACATGTTCTTAACATTTAAAAATGATTGGTTCTCAATAACAAGTTCCAACCAATAGAAGACTGCAAATTTATCCAGCATTTACTGTAACAAAAAGTGTGGAAAGAACCATGATTTCTTTTTGACTCTGCAGTTTCCACAACTGTCGTGTGTTTGTTGTGGCAGGTGCAGTACCAACAGGTCATGGCCTTCCTTAAAGAGCTAGACCGCAGAGAGAGAGAGCTGCTTTACAGAAAGTGGAGACCGAAAGTCCCAGTTTTAGGGAAGTAAGTCAACACCTTAAATCTCTCTTAAGAAACCAACTATCAGTTTACTGATTATATTCTCTCCTGCCTCAGATCCCACTGCCTTACTTTCAATGCTTGTCTTTTGCCTAAGGACTTTTCTTATTTACCTGTAAATTAGATTATGTAATATAATTGTCACCACAGCTGCAGGCAGTGGTGGACATTTGCAATCCAGGCCAACCTGTGTGAGATCAAAGAGCAGCGGCGGCGCAGCAGCTGGAACTTTGCCCTGCAGCGAGCCAGAGACACCCAGACCTACACCAGCCTGTATTTCAGGCGGCTCAAAGCCGTCCCACTCAGTTCTCAGGAGGAGGTACTACAATGGAACAAGAGATTACAACAGTCATTGCCATTAAAATATTGTTCCTTCTTTATTAAGGTTGTAACTGATGATTATTTCCAAAGGAAATTGATCAGATTGTAGTTCATTCAGTTAGTCAATAAAATAATAAAACATAAAAAAGGAGAAAATGTTAATCAGTGTGTTTAGAACATTAAAATAAACACAAGGAGCATGGATCTTTAAACATCATTTTTGGATAATTCAGTTGTCCACTAGTCACATATTAGTAAAAAGACCAAGAAAAACACATTCATGAGATAATCCCTGTCTTTGTTATCAAGAGTGAACTGGAGCGAGTTGAAGAAGAGCAGACAATAGAGGAGTTGCAGATTCTCAGAGATATTGTGCACGACTGGTTTAGAAAGCAGGAAGAGATTGCAGAGGTAAAGTTTAAAATTTTACTTTCAACACACTTTTGTCTTTTGTAAAATTCCTGTTGCACCACATTATAAAACTTTCATTTGAAGCTACATCATGCATGTACTTTTTTTGTTGCAGAATGTTCGAGAGCCCATCGTTGACCCTCAGCCCAGTTTAGCTAACACATCTATCCCTAAGAGTGGCAGCTCAGGAATGATACAGTACTTGCAGTCTTGGTTCCCAGGTTGGGGAGGCTGGTATGGAGAGTCCCAGGACCCAGACAGACCGGAAGAGCTCCTACCAAGTCCATCTTCCTGGGACATTCTGGGTAGATACAAAAACCTTTCATGTCTGATCTGTCTTGGAGAGGACTGAAGAAAAGAACGTGGAATGGAATTGATGATCTAACTTTGTGTATTTGATTTATATTTTTGTGGTAAGTTCTGGCAGCTAACTGTGATTCTTCACTACAGCAGAGACAGAAGACCTGTTTGATCCACTGGAGGACTCTCATACACTGAACACCTTCACCAGACGAGACCACCTCTTTGCGCGGCTGGAGTTTCTTCTGGAGAAGGGCAGCGTCACACTTTTCCACCAGGACAGGAGAGCAGAGGTTCTCCATGAATCTGGGGTCATCCAGTTGGAATTTTCAGGTACACTTGCACCATTTGGATAGAGGAAGAATGTGCCTTTTAGGCAGGCTTCAGGCAGCAGTTTGTTTGTATACCTACAGGATACTACACACCATTAGAGTAATATACACTTTCTTGACATTGCATTACTTTTACACTGACAATATAATTTAACTATAACTATTACAGTTCAAATCAGATTTATACCTTTTGATTTAAAGGCATTATGGGATATTGTGGATGAACCATTATATTTTGTGTTTTAGTTCTGTTCAAATAGAATGTTTTAAGAGTGACTATGTTTTCACAGGGGTGAACGTAGTGTTGGAGTCTCTTCCACGCTCAGAGTCCTCTCTGCTCTCTGTAAAACTCGGTGGTTTGTTTCTAAGGGACTTGACCACACAGGACACCATCTTCCCTGTTCTGGTGTCCCCCAAAACGGTAAGCAGTGAAGTGGTCAGTGATTTTAATTTGTAAACCAGCAGATGCATTGTTTTTTGCACATGTTGATTATATTTTGCTTCTTTAGGACAAGGTTGTTGTTACTGTAAATCAGCCATCTGGACAGTCAAACAGGCACTCTGGTAATGTTTAGAGAATTACCATTAAATTCTACCAATCTTCAAACAATAGGAAAAACAAGAATGGCTTAGAATAAAAATGTTTACTTTCTGTTGTGCAGCAGAATGCTCATCGCCACCCGTATTTGAGATGATCTATGAGCAGAATCCGGCACGGTGTCAATTTGAAAGAAGACTGGAAGTGAATACAAGTCCACTGAACATCATCTACAACCCACAAGCTATCAAAAAAGTTACTGAGTTTTTTTATAAAGGAAGAGTGCACACATCAGGTAAGCACTAGAAAGGACCACATTGATGGGATAAAAATTACTACATCACAATTTTACATAAAAAAAGAATTGACACAGTAATGTCACATATGTCACAGCTTTAGCTATGCATTAATTCAGAAATGCGTGCATTAGCACAGAGCAAAGACATGTAAACTAAGCAAAACTAAACTTAAAATCAAAACAGCTTTTATTGATTTTGTAATTTATATATTATATATATATTTATTTATATATATTTACATATCCTTAATTCTCCCTTAAGGTTTTGGTTACCAGTCAGAATTGGAACTCAGAGTTGCAGAAGCTGCAAGGAGACAATACAACAAGCTGAAAATGCAGACAAAGGCAGAGATTCGACAAACCATCGATCAGCTTCTTGTGGGAGAGTTTATTGTGAGTCTGCGATGTTATATTAAATCGATTTTTCAAAGATTTAATGCAAAAAAAAATGTAATTCATAAAACTATCCCATTTGTTTGTTTGTTTTTAGGAAAACAGCAAACGTTGGACAATGAAACTGGACATCTGTGCGCCTCAGGTGATTTTTCCTGACGACTTTCAGTCCGGAGACCCAATGTTAGTTGTTGTTGATTTGGGAAGGATTCTCCTTACAAACTCTCAAGGTAAAGTATAATAAAAAATAATTTACATAAATTAACTAAAACCAAACACCTAATAAATGCTAAATAGGTTATGTTAACTATTTTTAGAAGACCTCAAGGCTGGCTCCAAACCTCCTGAGTCTGAAAACGATGATATGAGTGATGACGAGTACCAGACACCTCTAGCTACACCACCAGGCTCTCCGCCACCTGAACCTGAAATACCTTTCAAAGCACTTAAAATCCCTGAACTTCCTAACCTGAAATCTCCCGAAAGGGCATACAGCAGAAAGCTTTATGAAAAATACTCTCTGTCCTTCAAAGATCTTCAGATAATGGTCGGTCGCTATAAGGACAGTTGGAAACACATACAGGAGAGCGAGGTTGGCCCCACTCATGTAGTGGAGAAATTCAATGTGCTGCTGCAGCTTGAACAGAGACTGAGATACACATCAGATCCTCAGCTCCCTGGAGCTGTGCTTTCAGGAACCCTACCAGATCTCAAAGTCCACATTAACCTTGAGAAGATGACTGCCCTCAGGAGCTGTTTGGCCAGGTTGAGCAGCCCAGGTTCAAAAGAAGGCGAAAGTCAAGAGAGAGGCACAGATATCAGGTCTCCGGAGTCTCTTAATTTTCGTCATGACAAGATTTTTCAGAGAGAGGACAGTTCCTGGAAGCTGAAGGGTTCGGCCAGAAATCTGACCCAAAGTGTAATGACCTTGGAGCAGCATACACGGGAAGTTTTGGTGGAATCCCGTCTACTGTTGGCTGAATTCAACATCAACTACATGCAGCTTGGTGTAGAGAGTGATGGCCGTTACATATCTGTTCTTAAAGTGTTTGGCACAAATGCTCATTTCGTGAAGCGTCCTTATGATGCCGAGGTCTCTCTGACAGTCCATGGGCTCCTGCTAGTGGACACGTTGCAGACGTATGGCTCAGACTTTGACCTCCTTGTGGCTTCTCATAAGCATCTTAGTTTTGACGTTCCCACAGGCAGCCTTAGAGAAAGCCAACCTTCATCACCTGTAACTCCACCTGACGCTAGGTCCGTTGACAATCAGTCCCACCACACAGAGTCATCTATAGGTATGCCCACTGACCAAACCTCCCCCTTCAGTTCCCTTTTAAGAAACCACGAGGCCCTGATTAAGCTAGAGTACCAGTTTGTGAGTTCAGACTGCCCTTCCATGAACCTGGACAGCTCCCTTCAGGTAACAAGCATCCAAGTCAACAATCTGGACATCATTCTTAACCCGGAGACAATGGTGGAACTGCTGAAATTCCTCCAAAAATCATTTCCCAAGGAGGAAACCTCCTGGACTCAATCCACACAGCAGCAGAACTCAGCCGAAGGTCACAGTGAGGACACGGATGTGACATACCAGGCCACGTATGACCAGAACAAAGAGTTGACAGTGGAGATCCACCGTCTCAACCTACTTCTGCTCAGAACTGTGTCCACTGGATCTGCACACGTTGCTGAGAAGAAAGGCCTTAAAATTGCCACTGCCAGCATTACAGGCACAAAGGTCAATGTTTCTATGGGCAGTCGTTTGGATGTCAATGGATCACTTGGGTCCATGCAATTGGTGGACTTGTCCCAGGAAGCAGGCCGAAGCCAGTTTGTGGTCAGCATTGGCAATGTTGAAGAGAGCCCCTCAAGTCTTGATGAAATAACATTCCTTGCAGAAGCAGGAGGTTCTCCGTCAGAAGCTTTATATTTTCATTTCAAGGAGAAAACCCAAGGGGAATGTTCCTTGGAACTACAAATGGCATCGCTCCACTATAACCACAGTGCAAAGTTCTTGAGAGAGCTCAGTCTGTCTGCCAATGAAGTGGAGGACAATTTCCGCTCTATGTTGAAAAGTGCTGCCACCAAGGTGTCAACAGTTCTTGTCACCAAAACGGCAGAGTACAGTGGTATGGTTTCTCTTTTTGAGACCAAAAGGAATCGAACTCAAAGTCAGTGCTGGGCTTATCCATTTGAGGACGATGAGGATGAGGCTATGGAAGAACCTGAATCCACACTGGATAATTTTTTGGTGAAACTCAACCTTAACATCAGCATTGAATCACCTGTTGTGTCCATTCCTCGTAAACCTGGACACTCGGAGCTGCTGGTCGGTCATCTGGGAAGTATAACAATCCAAAACTCTATAACAGGACTGGACTCTGATGCAGAGAGGTTACAGGTTTTTGTAAAAGATATCCGTCTGTACTCAGTCAACATGAGTCATTTGGTTTTGAAGCGTCCACCCAGAGGTGACAACACTGGCAGCAGGTCACCATCCATCAACGGAAGCATCAACCAGGATGAGCCACAGTTCACACGCAATGACTTCTTTGAATCTCTTAACCGGGGAAAAGGTGAGACTTTGAAAACTTTTCAAGGCAAGGCAGAAGCATTTTCTATTTGTTTATTGCTTGTGTCACAACTAATAATGTATTTATTTTATCAGCCTTCCACATACTGAAAGACACCACCATCCAATTTACCATGGAGAAAGTTCCTGCAGACGAAGACACCCAGTTTATATTTCTCACCACAGAGGATCCCTGCAGGAGCACAGGACTGCTAAGAATTGAGGGAAGATTTGTCAACCCTGTACAGGTATACAGTAGTAATTTGTTGATAAAATAAGCATTTTCTGGCTTTAGAAGAAAATACAAAGTATAAAAATAATAGTAAGTAAGTAACTAATAGTAAGAAAATAAATTAAAATACATTTTTTTTCTTCAATATTTCACGCTCTGCGATGCCTCCTAAAGGGATTTGTAAAGGGTTAATATATACATAAATAATATAATAACTATCGCCTCTCTACTTTGTGGTTTTTCACCTATCGCGGGATTCTATTCAGAAGATAACCATTTAACGGCCTAACAGCACTTTCATCCTGTAACTTTTAAAGTCCTAGCTGAACAATTAACATGCACACTGTTAAGTAGAAATGATGGGTCTGGAGGGGCAGTAGGGTAACAAGGAAACGTCTTATTCTTATGAGCTGAAGGTATAAATACAAGGCATTAACTCACAAAACAGGGCTTGTCTAAGATTGACTGAAATTAGCTTATTTCCCAAAGTTGCTACTTTGTACCAGCATGTTGTTATATATCCATTAACAGGAACTTGAATAAGGTGTTGTACTTATTTATTTTCCAGTAAAAAAAAAAAAAAGCTCCAGAGTTTTACATAATTGATTTTTTTTAATATAAATCAACTCTCACTATCATTAATTGTTTCACCAAGTTTTCTTAATTATCTGTTGCATTTCTTATAGGTGTTCCTGTGCAAATCGGTGTATGAACAAGTTCTTCAGACTCTAGACAACCTGTCCTTCATCGGGGAGCAGCGTGTCACCCCCAGCCAACCACCAACACCTCCCCCACCTACTCCCTCTTCCACCAGACCACACCGTTTCCCTGACCCTCAGGGAGGGCTGTTTGCAAGGGACCCCCCAAACTCCAGTTTCTCTCACTCGTCACTGTCTTCCCCTTTGCCTCTGCAGTCTTCCATGCCGTCTTTTCAATCTCCCTCCTTCACTCAGATTAAGGTTACCCTACATGTGGCAGAACTGCAGGTCCAGCTCAGTGCTGATTTAACCCAAGGTTCCCAGGGACTAGTCAGTCTTCGCTTTCAAGACCTGGAAGGAGACTTTACCAAAGACCATCCTCATTTACTGGCGGTCCAGTTAGCCCTGCGCTCTCTGCTGATGGAAGACCTCCTGGAACAGAATCCTGAGTCGAAGTACAAACATTTGATGGTTTCCCGTGGAGCACCCAAAGCCTCTACCTTCAGTCCAAAGGAATACCTTTCCCAAAGTTGTCCGTCATCATCCAACGCTCTTTACCCTGACATGCCTCGGTCACTTCCAGCCCACATGGAAGAGGCCCAGAATGTCTTCCAGTTCTACCAGAGGCATCCCTGCACCACCTCATCCAGCAGTCACAAGTCCAAGAGAGACCCAGACTGCCCCAGTACTCCACCTCCTTCACCCACTCACAGTACTCCCTACCTTCAGCCCCCTCCAAACTTTGATGACTCCCTGGTTCATATCAATGTGCTGCTAGTGGATCAGAAACACCCTGAGTTTAAAACACGCTACGGTGGAGTAGGTCGTAGTGTGGATGTTGACTTTAACTGCTTAGATGTTTTGATTACACTGCAGACCTGGGTCGTTATCCTGGACTTCTTTGGTATTGGCTCCACAGCCAACAATCATGCAGTGAAGGTCTTCCCCATGTCACCTCATCCTCTCCACGAACCAGACCTGAGTGAGGAGGAAGAGGAGGTGATAGAGGTGGTCAATACAAAGGTTGACCTAAAGGTGGGTTCCCTTCCTGGCCAGACAGTAGTTTCTCTTTGATAAATTTAAGAAATCTTGGAATGCAATTCCTGCCAAACCCTTGAAAAACTTGCGGAACATGCTAATGTTAAGCCAGAGGTTGTTTTAAAGAAACCCAAAAAGCAGTTTTTTTACAGTAAAATACAAGCTTGAATATGACCGATTATATTTTTATCATGTTTATTGTTGTTAATTCATAATCATTAATTGTTTCCTTCTTCAGGTTCACGCGTTGTCTCTTGTGCTGAACAAGAAAGTAACGGAACTGGCCAGAGCTAGTGTTTCAAAGTTATCTGCTCATCTGGAAATGTTGGGTGTGTAGCAAAAAAAACAAACTCTACTCCACACAATATTGTTTTGATCATATTATTATTATATTTTGAACATAGTTCATTGTTTGATTTTTTAATATTGTTCAGATGGTGATCTGGCATTACAAGGAAGCTTAGGAAGTTTGTCCCTGAGTGATCTGACGCCACATGGTGATCTTTACCGGGAACGTTTCACCACACAGGGAGGGGAAGCCCTGATCTTCAACGTCCACAAGTATATATGACTAATTAATGATGAAAAAAACATAGAACATGGAAAGAATTACAACTTTGATACAGTTGTTTTAAATTCAATGCTCTCTTGAAGCTGACGGCTTATTCTCCTTACAGATACGGCCAGCCAGATCCATACATGGAGCGAGAGTGTGACATTAAGTTGTCTCTGAAAATGGCATCAGTGCAGTATGTCCACACCCAGCGCTTCCAAGCTGAGGTTGTGGCGTTCATTCAACACTTTACCCAGCTGCAGGACGTTTTGGGCAGGCAGAGGGCTGCCATGGAGGGCCAGGCCGTGAGTAACTCAAAAGACCCCATAGAACTCAGGCTGTTAACAGCACGTAGATGTAGAGCCCTCCTTTCTATTATCTTTTTCCTCTCAAAGGTACACGACCATCCACAGCGAGCATCCAGGGTGTCCCTTGATATCCAGGCTGGTGCCCCAGTTCTTGTTATCCCAGAGAGCTCACGTTCAACAAGAGTCATCGTAGCGAACCTCGGACAACTCAGGGTGCACAACTGCTTTCTGCCTGCAGGGTCTTATGGAACCTTTTCTCTTCGAGACAAGGTAGAGAAACTCACCATGGCACATGCCTTTTTTCCATCACTGGTGAGTGACGTTGCCGTTTTACCTGATCATCTAGGGCTTGGCTGTTTGCACAACTAATGGCAACATAACAGTTGTTTTGTTGAAAAAACTAAAAAATAATTTGTGCTGCATGAGATTTAGAATTAAACTGACTGTTACCAGTCAAAAGTAGTGAAACCTCTTCTTTTTTTAACCATTTTTAGTTTTTTTAATGTCAAATGAAGGATAAAAGAAACTAAGACAAAATAATGATAACATTACCTCCTGGGAACTGGAGGTTCTTTTGGTTATATACAGGGTTAATGAATATTTTATTGTTGTTCACTTGCACTTTGTGTTTTTTGTGAAGAATGTTATACTGCATGGGACGTCATACAAGGGTCCATTCTTCTACAAGGTACAATGGTGTGATTTAACTTTGGTGTGAGAACTGCCCTCAACATTTCAGTTTGACCTTTCTCATTTAATTCAAAGGGAAATGGGTTATTAACTAACTTATTAGATAACTCTCAGATGAAGACTTTACATTTTGTAATGATTCAATGGAATCATTCAGAGATGCAATTACATTTTTTCCATCCTATGGTGTGAAAGTTTGGAACTTTTTTGCATGTATTGTTCAAAAAAATACACCAGCTACTGCATTTAGTCTTCAGGTTATCACCATTAAGTGACATTCTGTACTGAACATATAATCCTGATTCAAGTTTTTAGTTAACACTGCAAGTTGCAGATCAGGAAAGAATGTTGGTGTATTGCTGTATGATGTTTTGATACAGATTCAACTTTGACACAGTTTTTTACCTGTGTTCTTTACTCTTGAGTATTAAAAACTATGATATATTCATCACATGTAATCTAAAATTATAAACTGCTTCAGTGTTTATGTCTGATGTGTGATTCAATGTCAATGTTTCCCTTTTTGAAAAGGATCGTGTGAAGAGTGCAGCAGAAAACAGTGGTAAGCAGGAGAAGAGCAGAAACGTCTCCTCCTCCTCCACCTCCTCTGCAGGTTTCACACTGGGCAGGCCCCGGGCCCCTGACAATGGGAAGGTCCCAGAGGAGAATGGGGTTCCAGGTAAATGCACTAGGACTCTTAAAGTCACAGCCCCGCATCTTAAAACGAGACACTGTCTTATCTTCTACAAAAAGACATTGTCCTCATGACCTGGCTGATGCGTTCTTCCCCTGTTAGAAAACCACATTTGCCTTCTGGACTGCATATCACTGGACCTACAGGAGATGGACATCTTTGCAGCAGAGCGCCTGCCCTGTCAACAGCTTGACTGTGACAGTAACCCTTCTGACAGCTCTGACCTCATCTTCCCCTCGTACTCTGTCCGTCGCACTGGAAATAACCTGCTTAAAGACCGATGTCGCCTCAAGCTGAAATTGGAACGGAACCTCGACAAGTATGTTGTCATTTCAAATATGTTATTCATTTGTTTGGGAAATAGTTTGGACTTTTGCTTTAAGGGGACATGGGTATACTGGACATTCGCATTAAGGTTTTACTCTACAGCTTCTGTTGTTTTGTTTAAGATAACTTTGACTTTTTAAATTGCACTACTGTATCTAATTTTAAAACATCGATTGGAATTGGAAACACCAACGGTTGATGAGAAAATTCATGATTTGTGCTATCATTTATTGATGCTGTCAGGGAGATGAGCCACGCAGTACCAGACATGTCCATCCATGGCAGTCTGTCATCAGTTCACTGTTGTCTGGACTTGGAACATTACCGGCTGATCAGAAGGTTGCTGGAGCAAAACCTGGGCGAGCCTGTGGAAGAATTCCTGCGACCCTACAACCTGCAGGACCCCAGCACCTATGTATGAAAAGAGCTAGTCATCATAACAATCCAAGTCGGGTTTATATTGAGTTTTAATGTCTGTCTGTCTGTCTGTTTTTTTATTTTTTTAATGAATGGAACATTCATGGTGGAACTAATTAAAACTGTTGTTAAACATATTTTTTCTTAAATAAGGGAGGTTTTAAAGGATAAATTGTATTGTGTAATTTTTAACCTTAGGACAGTAGGCAGTATTGATTATTTTATATTTAGAATACTATCTTTTTTACAATATAACTTTGTTTTCCTCATCTCTTTCCATGTGTCCTCTTTAGACGGTGTTAAGTGGAGATGTCTACACTACCTTTTCCTTCCTGGTGGACATGATGGATGTCAGTCTGGAGATCTTTAACAGACCAAACCCCACAGAACAGAAACGCTCATTGGCAAGGTGACACCCTTTCCAAAAATCTGCAAAGATTTAGATTAATTTGTCTAAATTTAGTCAAAGAACGAAATAAAGACACTCTAATATAAGTGTCCTATTTAGGGACAGCTGTCCTGTTTTAAGGCTTTGACACCATGTGACATCTTTAAAGATCTCATAGCTGCAAGTTTATCTGTGATGAACTACAAATTTTAAATATAACATCAATCTGTTTTATTGATGGCAAGATCCCTGTATGAAACCTTCAAATTCTAAAACAAGACAAAGATAAACCCTTGGAGTAATTCAAAAAATGACTTCAATATCTAAGTACATCAGTGAAGTGTCTTTATTCATTATGCTTCAAGTGTGCTGCAATATCCTATCTGCAGGTGAAACTGCATCATCTTTTCATTCAATAAATCAGAGCAATAAATCATTTAATATCACACTTGTTTTATCAGGTTTGATTTTATGAAGTCCAAGTTGCTCTTTGAGAGTTATTCCAATGGATCCAAGTCTGTAAACTTGGTGTCTCACTCCCTGCTGGCACACGACACCCGCTACACTGGACTGAATAAAAGATCTGCTGCCGGAGCAAAGCACAATGTCTACAACTGCATCCTTCAGCCGTCAAAGACAGGAACTAACAGGGCGACACTGCAGTTGGAGCTTCACTACAGGTATCATTGCAACATATTTCATATTAATAATGTCGTTTTTATGGGATGCAGAGGCAGAGATTGCTGAAGTAGTAATACATAGTAACAAGGTGATATGCCTTCCCTGCAGATCCACACGTGACTCGTCCTGCTTCACAGTTGTCCTCAACAACCTGAGAGTCTTCCTCATTTTTGACTGGCTCCAGCTGGTTCGGGATTTCCTTAAAATGCCGGTCGAAAAAGTACCTGGTTATAGTCGTCAGCGTTGGCCCAGTAACACCAGCACTGACTCTGCCAACTCCAGTACCAGCACAACAGGGGCTGTCATGCCAAAAACGGTCAAGAGTGGTGTGGTCACCAAGAGGTCTACTGTGCCAGTTAACCAGGAACACTGTCTGGAGGTCAAGATAAATGTCACAGGTCAGAGACAGCAGAAGTGTTGCTGTTAAAGTAACATAGCACAGTAAATGTCAACATTACTTATTTATTGATATAAAAATACTGTTCTTTGTTCCTCAGGCACAGAGTTTGTTGTCGTCGAAGACTCATCATGTCTGGATACAAATGCCATTATTCTGAAAGGAACAACTGTTCTCACATACAAACCACGTCTGCTGGACAGACCCTTCTCTGGCAGCCTTGCTGGAATAGAGGTAACAACACTAACCATAGTTTAAATCTAGGACATTTTCAGGGACTTCACATGCTACATCCAAAGACGTCATTTTTTATTTAAAAACATTTTGCACAAGATACTCAAAAAAGGCTGTTTTTTTTAATACTGTAGGTCAATAAGTAACTGAGATATTACGCATTATGATAAATAATCTGTCTTTGCTTAGGTGACTTAAATCTGGCTCCCCATTAGCTATAAATAAGCCAACTACTATAACTAATAGCAAGAATGGGGCTGTAAGATGAGCTGTAAAAAAGTATTTAACCAAAACACAACTCTTTTTTTAGAATAGAATAGAATAGACCTTTATTGTCATTGTAACACGGGGGTACAACGAAATTTCAGTTGTACGATGAAAAAAAAGACAGAAAACATGTGCAAAGTTGTGCAGAGCCTCGAGCTGCTTGGATCCAAGTGCTTCTGCTATAAAAAATTTAAGAATTTGTTTATTTGAATGAATGTGTCTTGTCAACCTCAGGTGTTTTCTTGTCGACTTGGCAACGAGCAGGAGACGGCACTGTCCATCATCGACCCTGTCAATGTTCAGGTGGAGTTGTGTGGAAGTCCAACGTACCAAAGTAGCTCTGGTTTACTGGATGCTTTCAATGTTGAGGACATCCCACCACTGCTGGAGGTAAAGACTGGCTTTGGCATGTAAACCATGTGTGTATATAAGGGAAGTTAAAGGATAATTATTTAATTTATGCACAGTTAATGCCTACAATTTTTTTTATTTATATATATGTTTTTTATTATATTAATTTGTATTATATTGCAGCAATGTGCTAACAAGTGTTTCTCTGACAGATTCAGTTCCCTGTTCTGGATATCCGACTGTCCTACAATGACATTCAGCTCTTTTTGGCCATTGCCAAGTCCATTCCAACTGCAAGCACACCACCAGCAGCACCACCACCACTGATCTCTGAAGAGACTAGGGACTCTGAAGGTGCAGCCCACACTAGTTCTGTAGAAACATCGAAAGACAGTATGAGGAGGAAGACTGAGGCCCGTATTGGTAGGTGCTAGTTAATGGCGGTTAAGCCATATTTTTTATTTTTTTCAAATATACCGTATTTTCACGACCATAAGGCGCATATAAACGACTTAGATTTTTTTCAAAATGTGCGGTGCGCCCTATAGTGCAGTGCGCCCTATGTGTGTGTTGTAAGGCGAACG